AATTATAAACTTGTGTATAGTGCTAATAATAAATTACAGCAATTATTAGGTAATCCAAAGGATAAAACACCTCCACTGGAAAGGTCGGATATTTATGAAATTTCTTGTAAAGATTGTAATCAGAAATATGTTGGGCAAACTAGAAGATCAATATTACCTAGATTTAAAGAACATTTAGCTCAGATAAGATATGGTAGACCGGATAAATCTTGCGTTGCCGAACATATTGTTGATAAAGAACATTGTATAGATCTCAATAATTTAAAATTAATTAAACAAGTCTCAAATTACAGGCAATTAGATGCACATGAAAGCATCAGAATTAATAAATGTAAAGATAGTATGAACAGAGACAACGGTCCAATTCCTTCAAGTTCTTTGTTCCTACTACTCTAGTGGCGGAAATCTAACTGTTACGCTCAGTTGGCTCTGACTCGGTTGGCTAGTTTTTGCCACGCCCACTCGGTGCCCACTGGGCGAGTATATAAACGCTCAACTTGTAGATTGTACTTTAGTTTATAATAATCTGTTGATGATGCTAACATGGTTAGCGAAACGCGCGTCCAGTGTAAAAGTGTTTTGGTGTTGTGGTGATTTAGTGTTTTTATTTTACAAAATAGAACTAATATAAAGGTTAATAAACCTGTCAATAATAGGTATACAGATTTATGGGTCAAAAATATAAATTAATTACAAATTTATTTCCAAATTTTTATAGGGTGTCCCTAAAAAAAGTTACACATCAAAGTTTTCTTTTTCTAACGGACACTCCACATATTAATTGAATTTCGGATTCTAGGAAAAAAAAATAAATAGAGGTGAGTTTTATTAAAGAATCATATACCTAAAATCTAAGGATTTTGATATATTTCACATTTTGTGAAAATGAAGAGTAAATTTTAAATTTCGATAACAGCTACCTAAATTTTAGTTGACCTTGTATAGCCCGATATTTAATTACAGCAACCATTGTATGTTAAACCATATTGAAATTTGACCCAAAAAGTTATACAGGGTGAGGCAAAATTAATATGGAACATTATAGTCACTTTTAAAAGCAAGTTACTCCTTTACTTTAAATGGAACACTGATTTTTATGATTTTGCATAAGTAGATCTTTATTATTTAAAAAAATCTAGGGGTTAACAAAAATTAAGGATTGCAGAGTAAAATACTCAACGGTAATAAAAAGATACACGTTTAAAACATACTTTAATTATTTTACAGAATTAAAACTAAATATAAACCTATAACTATATGACAAAATTAGCTAGATGAAATCAAATGCTCAAAATGTTTCATTTCCTGTTAAAAGCATAAAATGATTGTCTTTTCAAAAGGACCTTTTCATTTTAGAAAGCATATGTGGAGTTCTACCTCGAAAATCAGCTACAATAATTTCTCTCATGTTGTCGACAATAGTTGGCCGAGTTTTATAAACATTGTCTTAACATATCCCCATAAAAAAACAGACTAGATAAAAATCAGGAACATTAAAGTATTCTATTACTAATAGAATCATATCAATTCTCTCTGATGTAGGATAAGTTTGCATTTTAGAGAAAATTTCTGAGAAATTGTTTTACTGTAACTGACACAAAACGATAACTAGTTGTTAAAGTTGGACTAATTAGACAGCTATGTTGAAGTAACGTCAGACATATCACAGCCACCTAGATTTTATCGAATAATAAAGATCTACTCAGATCAAATCATGGAAATGAAGATATCTAGAAAAATCTTTGTTTAAGGGGTAGGCAGTAGGCAACCTTAATAGTATTTTAGAGAGACATGCATTCTCCATTGAATATCGGAATAATATACTGGGTGTTCCATTTACAATAAAAAAGTAGCATGCTTTTAAATATGACCAAGGGTCAATATTAATTTTGTCTCACCCTGTATAACTTTTTGGATCAAGTCTTAATTTGATATAAAGTACAATTAATTTAACTACATATTAGGCTATACCGGGTAAATTCCAATTTAGGTAGCTTTTTTTGTAATTTAAAAATTGTTCTTTAGTTTCTAGACAATGCTAAATATGTCAAAAACCTTACATTTTAGTCATATACATCTCTTATAAAACTCACCTTTATTTTTCTCCCAGAATCCAAAAATCAATTAATATACAGGGTTGTTCACCACATACGACAAGGAGTATTGTAGCTAAACGATTAGATTTTTACAAATTGTAAGTTTTGGGTCCGTTGAAGGACTATTAGAGCTACAATTTAAAAATATTTTTACAAGATACAGAGTGTCCCAAATAAATAAAAAATATCAAAGTTGTATTTTTTTAAATGGAACACCCTGTATATTATTATACATTTTAGTTTCTACGATTAAAATAAAGGTAAATTTGATAAAGGTTTATTACACTTAAACTTTACCGTTTTTGAAATATTTTCAATTTTGTGAAATTGCAGTCAAAATTTTAAGGCTTAATTTCTCCAAGGGTATCAAAGTTTTTAATACTAAATATTTACTGAAGTTTATTTATTTATCAGTTATTGTGTTGCAATAATAAAAATTATACTACCTTATACAGAGTGTCTAAAATTTTATTTTACATAATTACTAGCTTTAAACGGCAATAAGTTGTAAAATTTAAATGAAACACCCTGTATATTTTATGAGAATCAGATGCACATTTTAATTGTCTATCAAATTGTATTATACCATTTTTTACCTATAGCTTCAAGTTTCCGTAGAAAATGCATTTTCATGTAATTTTAAATTCATTTATCAATATACCTATGGAATACTGACATTTTAGATTATTTTTAAAGAGTACAGATACTAATATTGTCGATATAGTTTGTTTATTTCATTAAAAAATAAAAAAAAAACTGTTTAAATATTTGTTAAAGAGGACCAATTAATATGATTCCAGTATTCAAACTACATTAATTGACTGTTTACGTTGATTAATAATAATTGCTCCAAAAAATAAAAAACTGAATTTTTATGTGTATTAGACAGTGTGGTAAAAAGTAACACCTTAAAAATGATATTTCATTTTTTGACAAATGCTTATTTGTAACAACAGAGACATTCATTTTTATAACTTATTATTATATTGATTTCTGATTCAAATCCACATTTATTTAGAATAATTTATGCACGAATATAATTAAGTATGTAATTAATTAGTATTTGGGCGGAAATAATTGTGGTATATTTAATTAATGGTATACTCTTTTATGAAGATTTAAATAGTTTTCTTTTTGCATACAAATGGGCTAGTAATATTATCATTTTGCTAAAAACGATAATATTACTAGCCTGTACATTTTGTACATTTGTTGCTTTAAAAACAATCTAAAATGTCAATATTCCATGGGTATATTGATAAATGAGGTCTAAATTATAAGAAAATGCATTTTCTACGAAAACTTGAAGGGATGGTAAAAAGTGGTATAATACAATTTGATAGACAATTAAATTATGCATCTGATTCTCCTGAAATATACAGGGCCTTCCATTTAAATTAAACAAGTTATTGCCGTTTAAAGCTAGTAATTATTTAAAATAAAATTTTAGACACTCTGTATAAGGTAGTATAAATTTTATTATTGCAACACAATAACTGATCAATAAATAAACTTCAGTAAATATTTAGTATTAAAAACTTTGATACCCTTGGGGAAATGAAGCCTTAAAATTTTTACTGCAATTTCACAAAATTGAAAATATTTCAAAAACGGTAAGGTTTAAGCGTGGTAAACCTTAATAAAATTTACTTTTATTTCAATCGTAGAATCTAAAAATAGAATAATATACAGGGTGTTCCATTTAAAAAAATAAAACTATAGCATTTTTTACTTATTTGGGACACTCTGTATCTTGTAAAAATATTTCTAAATTGTAGCTCTAATAGTCCTTCAACGAACCCAAAACTTAAAATTCGTAAAAATCTAATCGTTTAGCTACAATACTCGTGTCGTATGTGGTGAACAACCCTGTATAGTGTTCCATTACAAAAAACACAACTTTGATATGTAACTTTTTTTGGGGACACCCTGTAGAACTGTCTATATTTTTAAAAAGTGGTCTGAATTAACCTACATATGCTCACAAAATTTTATTTCAATACAAACTGTTGTTCTCGTTGGAGCCTCCGCGGCGTATGAGAGGCGCCACCCTGTATTTATTGTGCAGATAGATGAGAATATTCAACGTACCAGTATAAGTCTTTTATCTATGAACGTACCTAATCAAAGAATTAATTTTTATTGCATTATTATTTAATTAAAACAATAAGTAAAGTTTATTTTTTAATTAAAGTAACAACTGCAAAAACTATTATTAAACTGAAAAAAAACATAAATGTCGAGAATATTAAAGTCCTTTCTTATTATCCTGCGCGATTCTTTAACTATTTTTACGCTATACTTTCGCTGGCCAAATGAGAATAGCATTAAATTAAGCATAAGACGAGCGGCTTAATATTATTAGCTTTTTTTTAAATATATTTACTCAAAGAGTACAGACATTTCAATGTTTTAATTAAGATGGATTTTTGGGAACGTGTTCCGGATTTCGACTCGGAAAATTTCTTTAATTAGAAAACTTAAATACTTTTTTCTTCTCAAAGAGAAAGGTCACATCTTAAAATCAAAAAAGTTTCTGGTTCGAAGTTAGTTATATTTGTACACAAGTAAAAATTCAGGAAGAGGCTTTTATTTTATTTTATATTAAAAACACGGAAAAAAAGAACGTTAGAAATAGAAACAAATTGGATACAAATAATTGGAAATGCAAAATGTTATCCTCCATTTGTAAATATAAGTTTGTTTTATATTGACATAAATTCTGTAGGTCTTTGGTATGTAGGTACTTCTAGAGATTATATTTTGCCCAAGCATCAGTGAATTTTCGCTGATGATCAAATAATACTGGCTCAAGACTACGAGGACCTGGAATATATGACCCGCAAACTAATTAAAGAGTATAACAAGTGAGGGCTGGTGGTAAACCTTAAGAAGACGGAATATATGTGTATCGGCGGCGAACAACAGAACTTAATCCTAGAACAGCAACAGCAAGAGATAAAACAATGCCAAAAATATAAATATCTTGACATGCACATTACCAACGATGGTAGCCTTGATGAAGAAATTAAGTGCAGAAACAACCAGCGAAGACAAGCAATTAGACAACTCAACAGTATTTTATGGGATCAGGCCGTATCAACAGAAAACAAACACAAAATTTATAACAGCATAGTTAAAACCATCATTAGTTATGTTAGTGAAGTATGGCCTTTGAAAAAAAGAATCCTTAAGTTACACGAAGCTACAGAAATGGACTTTTGGAGGCGCGCGGCCGGGGAATCGAAACTGGATAGAGTAAGAAATGAAAGAATTCAGAATATCATGGGCGTTAAACACAGAATATCAGAAGACACCAAGATTAACCAACCCAGGTGGTACGGGCACGTACAAAGAATGGAAGAGAGCAGAATCCCGAAGAAAATACTGAATTGGACACCGCAAGGCAAACGAAAGAGAGGGAGACCTAGACGGAGTTGGAGAGAAGGAATAGACGACAACCTCTGGACAGACAGAGACCAATGGAGACTGGAAATCAGAAGACGGCGAAGAACGTTATGAACGGATTTGTATACTAAGGGCTGGCAAAGCTTAGTCTTGGGTGGAGCTTTCCGTATGTAAGAAGAGCACAATGCGTTTTATAATGTACCGAACAAAGAGGGAACAGTAAACACGTTGCCAAACACATGAAATAAACCTAGAAACTGTGCACATATTGCTAAGAGACGTGGAAGGGGATATAGCAGATTTGTCGTAGTCGAGCGGCCGACCCAATCAGTACCTCTGTCAGTACTTAAAGTTCTAGGGAAAGGTGTACATCATGCGTTCAGCTTTACGATTTAATTACGTCTCGTGATACTTAATTTGCTTATTTATTAACGAGTCGTTGTAATTTTTTCTATAGCTTGAATTTTTTGAAGTGCAAGCTAGAAACACTTGCATTTTTGGCATAGTAGTAGAATTGAGTGGGTGGTCGATAGTGGTAGCGCTATTAGAACTCTGAATTCAAAAATCGATATCTCGAAATCTATTAGAAATAATAGATTGTAGTTTTTTCAAGAACTTTGTTAACCCTTAAGTACTAACATATTGAAATAGTTGCGTCTATACTAACAGACAGTCTGAGAGACGCATTCAAAAAATACATATTTTGTTTGTGTTTAACAGATTTTTTGTAAGTGAAGTGAGTCATTAGCATTAAAACTACAGGAAAAAAATATCTAGTGCTTATATTATACAAACATGTTTTATATTTTTGAAATAAAAGTACTTGTTTTGGATTTTTGACATATCTTTGTTTCGCATCGAGATAGAAAAAAAAACGAAAGGAAAATGAAAAAATATATTTATTATTATATTTAGCATATAAAAACCTATTTATTAAGCACAAAAAAGCAAAAGAAAATATAAAGAATAAAAAAATGACAGTGCCTACAGATGGGCTTGTTCCCTACACAATTGTTCTCTTCATTTTCTTCGATATTAGTCGATAGATAGTTCACATCCACATTTTCATCGTCTATAACAAAACATACACAGCTACATACCTTGAGATATTAGTTAAAAACCGTTTTTTACGTTCTAATTAAAATTCAGAATTATGATCGCTGTCTATAGCAAAATTTTCGCCAAATTCGGATTCTATGTCACTATTTTGCTATTATCGCTGCCAATCTCTTCAAATCACTTTAGAAGAGTATCCTTGTAATTTTGCTCGCCATACTTCACATGTTTTGAGCTACTAGGTGCTTGATTAATTCCACAAATTAGAAAAAAAACTTACGTTAACGCTAACACTCCGTCTATCAGACGGCATCGACAGTTTAAACTAAAATATTTTGAAAACTACACACTTTCGCAAATTGCCCTACCGGCCTTTAACTTGTTTTGATATGCATTGAAATTACATAGTTGGATGATAATTAGAAAGGGAGAGGAGGGGAGATGTCATATGTCCAGCTAGTCCGTTGCGTCTGTGAGACGGGGTGTTAGTACTTAAGGGTTAATATTTCTGCTGTATTTTCTTTGTAGACAGTATGTGAAAATCTTCATCAATAAAAAAATTACACGATTGCTAAAAATTGCTATGCTCTAAGTAAATGGATGGATTGTTTACAATTTTTGAATGGAAAAAACAACCTTATCGAATTTTTCTTATGTAAACATATTGTAAAATATCCGATCTTGAAAATAAAAAAAAGTTTGGTTTGGTTTGGTACTAACGATATCCTTATAATTCCATTTCAGATGCTCAGAAACATGTCTAATGATTTTATCTAGTTGTCTCTTGAAAAAAAGTCTTTTAAAAATAAGCGGTTTGCGATCGTGATTTTACTTTACTTGATAGGGAATGGCGTATCGGTAACGCCGCAACAGCATCTAAAGTTTTTCGAGATCGAGAAATCTCGAAAAATTTTCTCGATCTCGAAAAATCTCGAAGTCATTTTCTTGATCTCGCCTCGAAAAAAATTCTCAGTCGAGATCGAGACGAGAAATCTCGAATTTCGAGAATCTCGTGAAACCCTAACTATAACCCAGAAGCAGGTGCGTCTATGATCACCGAAGTTAAGCGACGAAATACGATCCAAGTGAATGGATGAGTGGACAAAACTACACAAAATATTTTTTATATATATTTATATAATAGTATGAAACTGATCTATACAAAAATAGCTTCACAATGCAACATAAATAGGAAGTCAATTGAATTAATTTTTATCTTTAGTATACAGGGTGAGTTTCCTACGATGCTCTCTATGGGTATGTCGGAAACTACTGGAGATAGAGAGTCGGTTAAACAGGGAAAGAATTGCAGTTTTGTAGGGTCATAAATATGCGCCTTTCAGATTTTTGAAAAAGTTCATGGCTTACTAGATATTTAGAAAAAAACAAATTTCAGCTATTTTAAAAATTGTCCCTAATTCCATTATAAACTATTTTAGACAAAAAGTTTTCAGACAAAAGTTGTAGATAATCACATCCTTAATGAGATTGTGTCCTCCGTTTTTTTCTAAAGCCTGTCATTTTTGACACTTGACACAAACATATGTTTTTTTAAATGGAAACCATAGTTGGCCATGACTTTATAAAAAGTGCCATTTTTTAAGCTTTTCAGCGATATAAGCTATAATATGTTTTCTTCGAAAAATTATCGAGTTATAGCCAATTCTTATCATTTTTAAATAATTTCACTTAGTTAGCCATGGAAACAATCGTCTTTGCTCTTATAAATGTGAAGCTGCCACATCCAAACTTTGTAAATTAAAGTAAACAAAAATTGTGTAAATATGAATTTTTTCAAATGAAGAAAAGAAAAGCGTGTAAGATTATTGGTTCAACTTTTCTTGACCATACATTTTCGAGGATACGTTGACCGGTGAATGTTATGATTTTAGAGAACGATTTTCAAGACTTGTTAGAAAAGTTAAATTTAGTTATAGCCAATTCTTATCTTTCTTGACTAATTTCACTTAGATTGCATGGCATTCTTATTCTTTTGTGATTTATAACTTATAAAAAGTCAGAATATATTACTAAACGGTTCTTTAGAATTTACATTACACAAACTAAAACTTAAAAAAATAATATCGCTGCAGTCACTGCATACACTTTAAGTTATTTTAGAAAATGTTCAAAAAATCCGCCATTGTTTTGAGTTACATCTTTATAAAACTGAATTATTACCTATTCTCACAAAAGGACCGGTTGACTTAATTAAACTTCTCTCGTACCGCCACTTCGAGTGCCTCTCTTAATTCATAAATTCTTTTGTAAACCTTATTTTTAACCATACCGCATAAAAAATCTATAATGGATGGGTGAGGTGATTGAGGAAGCCCATGCAATTAGTCCACCTCTTCCTATCCCTAAGTTTGTATTATTATGATATCAATAATTTTTAACATTTCTTTCATTATGGGGGGCATAATGAAAGTTATTTTGGAAACACTCTATTGATGCGCAGTATCTACACGCTTTTCTTCATTTGAGAAATTCATATTTACAATTTTGTTTATTTTTAATTTACAAAGTTTGAATGTGACAGCTTCACATTTCTGAGAGTAACGGCGATAGAACTTGTTTCCATGGCTAACTAAGTGAAATTGTTTAAAAATGATAAGAATTGGCTATAACTCAGTAATTTTTCAAAGAAAACATATTATAGCTTATATCGCTAAAAAGCTTAAAAAATGCCGCTTTTTATGAAGTCATGGCCAACTATGGTTTCCATTTAAAAAAACATATGTTTGTGTGATACGTCAAAAATGACAGGCTTTAGAAAAAAACAGAGGACACGATCTCATTAAGGATGTGATTATCTACAACTTTTATCTGAAAACTTTTTGTGTAAAATAGCTTATAATAGAATTAGGGACAATTTTTAAAATAGCCGAAATTTGTTTTTTTCAAAATATCTAGTAAGCCATGAACTTTTTCATAAATCTGAAAGGCGCATATTTATGACCCCACAAAACTGCAATTCTTTCCCCATTTAACCGACTCTCTATCTCCAGTAGTTTCCAAGATACCCATAGAGAACATCGTAGGAAACTCACCCTGTATATTTCTCTTACGTTTAAACAAATCTTAACTAAGTAGATATTAACATATTAAAACCTTGTTTATACTAGGTTTTAAATATTTTATGGGTAATAAAAGTTTAGAACTTATTAAATTCCTATTAGAAAGTGATGAAGTAGTTGTATGATAATGCTGCTTATGGTGGTAATATCGGAAAAGTGGCTTTATATAGAATATAAAACAGTTTTAAGATCATTTTTATGCATCGGTTTAGTAGCATGTTTACATTTAGGTATATTACTTTTACTTCCAGGATATTGGAAAACAAACAATTTTGTGCTCACGTCTATACAGGGTGCTAAAAATTCGAGGTACGAGCATTGGTATCTCGGTAACCGTAACAGATACGAACATGGTTAAATTGGGGCAAAGTTGCGTATTGAGATGTTCACCATGATGCCATCAAAAAAGTTTTAAAAATTTCAAGGATTGCTGAGTTTTTTGGAAAAAACGGATTTTTTTGAAAATCAATTTTATTTTTTCCTGTCGTTAGTTTTTATAAAATCAAAAAACTAATTGCACATTCTCATAGCCACTTTATTAGGGCTAACTGATAGTATTTTTAGATTTTCAAATTAACTGATAATTTGTAAGATACAGAGGCCAACTTAATTTTTTTAAATACGCTCCTGCATTTTTTATTTCAGATTTTGAAAGAATTCGGTCTTCTGAGTACAATGATATGCCACACTTTATATATTTTTTTGTTTTAGGTACCTTAACAGTAACAAAACTATTGAATTATTATTTAAAATAATTTCCAGTCCGACTCTGGTTTCTTAAATTATTTGATCTGATTATATTCATCGCAACAATATTGATCAGCGCTAATTAACGTTGAATAAGGAAAATCGAGCCAATTGGAACAGTCAAATAAATAATATCCAGGTCAGAAATTTAAAGATATAATTTGTAACTTTTTTATTGTGAATTTGAAATCTCAGTGTGCGATCTAATAATATGCATAATATTAATCGATG